TCTGCAAATTAAAAAAAACCGTTAATAATAATGAAACAGAATGAATATTCTAATTAAATAGGATGTTATTCCCGTGACCATTTTGCGAAGCAAATGGTTACACGCTAGTATTAAAAAAATTTAGTCGACTAAATAGTCGACTAAAAGAATTTTGACCAACTAGTAGTCGACTAAGGATTTTTTGGACGATTCCAACCTCTACTTTAATCAGGCGATGTTAGCTATGCAACACGGTAACATGATTACAAAATCGAATGACTTTAATCAGGTGATGTTAACTGTGCAACACGGTACAAGGTCAACCCCGATAAACCGAAAACATATATACAAAAGAGTGAGGATGAAGATTACGAAGATGAAGAATTTAAAAGAAAGGCAATTGAGATCAAAATTGGTCCGAACCAGGATTTCGAATCTACTTTTCTAAAAATACCAGGATGTATTCCAATTGATGTTCGTGTATCATTCATGAAACTTAATCCTCGTTCAGAAGTAGGGAAACGTAGCTCACTGAATTTTTATTTAAAAGAATGTGGTCTTGTGGGTAAAGTTGATATGCCGATACCCGCCATGAATAAAATTTATGAAAGTGGGAATGTGGCGGGGATGCGTAAAATAGCTGAGTATTGCTTTAAAGATGCTTTAAGTTGTCAAGAACTTATGGTTGTACACAATGCGATAAATGTTTATAGAGAGGTTGCTTCTATTGCTTATGTATCTTTATTTGACACCCACTATCGCGCAAATGGAATGAAAGTAAGAAATCTTCTGGGTGCTTATGCATTCAAGCGTAATATATTGTTTACCACAAATCGGGTTAAAAATAGAAAAAGAAAACTATCCTAGTGCATACGTTTTCCCACCTAAAAAAGGTATTGAAACTAAAAGGCCAGTAACAGGTTTGGATTTTGCATCACTATATTCTAGCCTTATGATGACCTATAATCTCTCTCCGAAAAAATAATATTAAATCGTGAAGAGGCTGATCTAGTACGTGCTAAGGGATGTGACCTATATAATATTGATTTCCCATTCAATAATCGTATACTCAATGCTTGGTGTGTCCGTCATAATAATCAATCTGAAAAAAAAGGGTTATATCCCGATGTGTTACTGGATCTTCTAAATAAACGAGTAGAGCTTAAATCAAAACTTCCTATATTGGGCGAGAAAAAGAAACGACTCAGTAAATTAATAAGTTCAATAGAGTAAAAGATAAAAATATTCCAGATAGTTTAAACTCGGAGTATATTTCTATATGTTTTGATTATAATTGTTTGGACTCAAAATAGAAAGCTATTAGGGTTTTTATGAATACCTTTTATGGTGAAACTGGAAATAGCAAATCTCCTTTCTTTCTTCGAGTATTGGCTGGAGGCATTACAACAGCGGGACAGCATATCATCAAACTCGTTGCAGATTATGTAACTAAGAAGGGTTTTGAAATTATGTATGGTGATACTGATTCATTATATCTTAAATCCCCTAATAATTATTATAAAGAATGTGATCTTGCTTATGATAATGGTAAAGGCGTGATTTAAAGCTAGAGTATTGGAGCAAAATGGTTGAAATTACTATGTATGTAATGAAAAAATTATGTGATGAAGTAAATACTTTTTCAAATTGAGAACTGGTTCAAATCATCTTAAAATGGCCTATGAGGAAGTATTATTTCCAGTTCGTTTTACTGGTAAGAAAAAATATTTCGGAATAACTCATGAGAAAGAAGTAAACTTTAAACCAGAAGGTCTTTTCATTAAAGGTATTGATACAGTGAAGCAAGGTAAATCCCAACTTTTTAGAACTATAGGAGATCGAATCATGAAGGGGGCTATGAATATCAATAATACACGTTCTCTTCACGAAATTGTTGAAGATGTTCTTAAAGAGGCTATAACCAATCCCAATCAATGGAATTTTGATCAATTTATAGAAACCAATGCATGGAAACCTGATAAAGATAATAACTGTGTTCAGCGATTTATAAAACGGACGAGAAAAAAATATGAAAATAAAATTCCAGATCCTGGTGAGCGATTTAGTTATGTGGTAACTACGATTTTTATGTTTTATCATCCAAAATGGGAAAATTTATATGCGGAAGAGTATCAATGCCATCAATATGATGATGACGACAATAGTAGTGTGTTGTCGATGATAATTTTACATGTGAATGAATAAACACTTCCGATACAAGGTCCAATAGTTCATTGGATTCAAGTTCCGATGATTTAAGCGGTGGTTCCAGAACAATACCTTTAAAAAAACGAATTCGCAACACATGGTTTTGTGTGAAAGTATTTTGAAAAGTGAAAGATTCAAGTGGAAATGAATTCGTAATTTGCAAATTAAAAAAAAAAAAAAAAACGAAATATTATTATTATAAAAAAAAAATTTTAGTCGGGCTAAAATAGTCAACTAAAATAATCAACTAATAGTCGACTAAAGAAATTTTTGACCAACTAGTAGTCGACTAAGGATTTTTTGGACGATTCCAACCTCTAGTTGTCATGTTGTATGTAAAGCATAAATATGCTTGGAATTTCCATGTTCATACCATAATCTTCTTAGTAATGAAACAATAATAATATCGCCAATAAAATAATTAGTAGAAGCATATCATAACCTTTAATTAACTTCTATACTACCAAGAGGACGGACCCTTTGAAAAATTATTAAATATTCAAGTCTAGATGTTAATCATTTTATGTTGCTACCAAAGCTCAAAAAGGCTGGAATATTTAGAGTTACGAAGCTGTGACGATGATGAAAAATTTAACGGAACAATCTACAAAACTTAAACCTCTCAAGATCAACAAGAAGACATGAAAAATTTTTAAAAGGTTTTTGGAAAATATGCTATAATTTAAAAGGTTTGGTAACACTTTATGGTAATAATTTCAATCGAAAATTATTTGAAATAATCAATATTGTAAAAAGTTATTGATCAAGATACATTTCATTTAAATTCATTTCATCATTCTTTCAACACATGAATCAAATGACTCACGAGTGAAATAGAAACGATTGGGTTCACCAAGATCGAATTAAAAAAAATCAGGTTTAAGAAGATGGGTGGTGCAATGGATGGTAATAATATGCTCGAAATTTAAACGAAACATTACCAACAAATTCAAATAAACAATGTTACTTTTTATATTAGAAATTAGACGACCTTTTTATACATATTTCCGAACATAATAAAAATATATAAATGTATACAGATAAGAATATTCTTCTTTCTAAATATCAGATAATAAATGATACAATATATTGATCGTTTGCAGGAGTCAATAACTTTATTATATTTTTCTGATAGAGCATAAAAATTGTATTGAAGAATCAACCATGTACTTATTCGCATTTAATCAGAACTTTAGTATAAAGGTAAAGAAATTAAAAGTATATTGCATTGAATAAGAATAAACAAATCATATGGTATGTAAGTCACGTGATAATATATCCCACGGATTAAAATTCTGAATTATAGGGGTAGGTTAACAGATTATAAAGACAAAAAACATCCTATCATCTTAAAAAGTCTATTCCAAGACTTTGAAAATAATATGTCAAATCATATATAAATAAATATATATTTTAAAGAAAAAAATATCATAATCAGTATACCTTAATGTAATATAAAATTAAATTATTATTTATTTTTCTTTCTCCTCTCCTATAACATTATAAAAACTTTCATATCAATTTTTCTCCTTCTATCTTCCATTCTCTCGCCAGCAAACATCCGTCATCATTTTCCATTCTTCTATCGCCAACTTTAATTTTACATACATCATTTTTCAATTATTTTATCTATTTAAGTATATTGTCTAATTTCATTAATAATCAAAAAATTGATTGTTCAATAATAATAAATCCAAATAAAATCTTAACTTATCTAATATATATTTTCTATATAACTTTTAATATAATTGATAATTAACTAATGATGACTAATTATTTTTTTCCATTTCTACCACCTTTCCCACTGCCACTTTTTTTCCCTTCACCTTCCTGCTCTTTGATTTCATTTAACAATTTATTTAACTCTTCTTTAAATGGTTCCAATTTTTTAAGTTTTTCATGTTCATCTGTAATTAAATTCTCGCCATTATCTTGTTTTTCTTTAATTCTTTCAATTTGTCTGATTTTTTTCTCTAAAGCTTTTATTTTTTTCTTGTTCATCTCGATCAATTGTTCTTTATTTAACATTTCTCCTTTATTATCATCAACTTTGTTGTTGTTGTTGTGGATATTAACTTGATCATTATCTAATGGCTGAATTTTCATATCAATTTTTCTCCTTCTATCTTCCATTCTCTCGCCAGCAAACAAATAAAGATTCAATTTTTTCCAAGTATATCCTCATAATTTTCCTCTTATTTTTAAATCTACCAATGTCAGGATAGGTTTCAAAAAAAAAATTACTACCAAAAAAATTGTTTTGATTATTTGTATTAGACATTTTATTAGATTGTCAATAAAGCAAGTGTTATATATAAAAATGAAGTTTTTTAAATATTTACTAAATGTAATAAAAAGTGTAACTCTTTTTTTGCCCGTCGATCGCATCAAAGATTCTGTGATTGATTAACACGCTCCTGAAAATATGGAATCATGAGCACAGTTTATAAAAGGATGAAAATTTGACACATTGTATACCTCTAATGAGCGAATGCTGGAACAAACAATGGGAAATATTGATCTATCATTCAACAAAGGCCAAGACCCTCGAATTCTAAATCCATCGTAAACGACTCCACAGTATTACCTTTGCTTCCAATAAACAATTCAGTGTGTATATATCATAAACAAATGTAATGAGAATAAACAATGAACAGGAAAGATCCAAATGAAATAAACTCCCAGATTAAGGATAATATTAAGACCATGCGGAAATAAATTTAAAAGGAACCAATTTTGAAAAAAACTTGAATTTTAATCTAATCCTCGCCTTGTCATCCAAATGGTAGTAGAGAAGCGGAATTGGCCTCTGGGTTTCCTTCTTGGTCGCGTACAACAACTTCAAGCTTGTAGCGTTACTTCTAAAAAACAAAAATAATATTGTTACTCAAGTCGAAACTCTGGCTCCGTAATTGAGCAATGACCTGACAGATTAAACCTAGGTATCAGGTTTAATCGATATGTTTGGCTTCGTCTATAGGTCCCTCACAAAAAGAACCCAAGTGCAATTCAAAAAATCCATAAATTCCTAGGCCACACATCGTTCGAATTCTTTAGATCCAATCACATGTGGAAAGAACCCAAAAAATTTTGTTGCACAGGCTTCTTCAGAGAAAGTAAAATTTAACCATTGACATTGTTGTTAACCTTATAATAAGGTTCATCTATACAAACTACACAAGCTATTCATCGCTATGAAAAAAAAAAAAGAGAAAATTATGGGGAAATATAAATATGTATGTATAGTAGTAATAATCAATTATAATAGAACTAGAAAGGCTCTCATACTTCTCTCTTCTAATAATACCCACCCACGCGTATTAAATAAATCCATCGCTCGAGTAATAAATACACTAAAACTATGCAAAAAATTATTTCTGAAATTAATGAATAAATAAATCTGAAATATCAAGCTCAGTAGTTAGAATTAATAAAATTACCTTTTCCAACCTATGCCAGTGTTATCAAATTATAAGCCTTACGATACCAAAGAATCTCTCGCGCATAGAAAGCTTCGATAAGTTCTTTGAAAGATTTAAGAACCCAAATGCAATTCAAGCAATTCAAGAGCCTCTTGTCCCTCTGGATTTGCCTATTGCATTATAATCTCGGGGTTTAGAGGTCCATTTTAACTTTTGTTTTTTTGAAAAGTGATGATTAGAAATAAAAATTTAAATGATTGGAGTCATTGGTAAGACCTATCTTTAAAATGATTATTATATCCAACAAGTTTAACATCATTATCCTTTTTAAAATAAATTTAATGTTTTATTAAAGATGAAATTAATTAATATACAACTTGGTTATATGTCATACTTGTTCAGGGTTATGAGAAGCAGTAATCATAATGCATCAGAAAATTAAAAATACTGTAGATTTATACAAGTTTACATAGCAATGATCGTAACCACCATTCTTTTAATAAAC